ATGTAATTAATTCACGGCGTGGCCGGTGACCTGTTTGGCCGGTCGATTACGCGAGCTCGACAAGTCCTCCGTGGCACTTCCGATCGGCTATCGATCTCGAAGGATGCTGTCCGCCACCGCTAATAGTTGGCGAAAAGTTGCCAACTTTAGCAATATTCGGAAATCGAACTTTTCACCATTTCCACGTCAAACAACAAACTCTCCTCCACTCCTCTCTCCTCCCCTGTGGAATTTTCCACGAGGATCGGGAAGGAAAAAAAGCGCAGGGAATGTTGCGTTGCGAAACGTGATAAAAAAAAAAATCGGAGCAAACATCGCGAGAGCTGTCCCAGTATGTGTACGTTGATCGTACCGCGCATCCCGCACGCAGCGCGGATCGGTAGGATGTCCGAGAGGCTGGAAGGCGAGTAGAAGAGAGAGAAAAAGGTGAACCAAAGCGGGTAGGAGGTGTGCAGCACACCTCTTACGAGTTTACGAGGCCTACGTCGGCCAGAACGAGCGGACAGTTACCTTTCTGTTTCGAGACCGCGAGGATCTACACCTCCCTCTATCGCGACGAATACATCAGTGGATCGCCTCTCGGCGAGTCGTTTCCCCGCTTTCCCGTTTTCGCCGTTTCCGTGTTTCGCGACAAGATAAAACGCGCGCACTCCTTATTCTCGCCGGCCTATCTCTCACGCAGCCCGGATATCGGAACAACTTCCGCGCTTTTAATTAAACGATACCCGATTGTTTCAACTCTCTGGACCGCTCGAAAAATTCTCGTTCGTTCCGTGGCTCGGACAATCGCGCTCTCCGTAATTTCAACACTGCTCGCGTGATTGTTGCGCGTAACCCACGATTTTACAATCTACCCGAGGAAACGCCGATTTTTATCGTTCCACCGCTGTGATTCATATTCTACAAAGAAACTGCCAGTCTACACTGCCAAGTAAGTCTACACTTCCTGATTCGAACGTTCCAAGAGACAAGTATATCAACGGATTTTTTCATTCTTTTCTTTCAGACCGTTCGAGGAGGCGGCGAAGAAAGGCTAGTCACCCTGCGAACAAAATCATGATAATTCACCTGATCTACGGTTTCTCCGTGTGGACCACGGTCCAGGCTATTTCCACAGCATGGAGGCCAGCGTTTTCGAACCCTTCGACGAGTATTCTGCAACAAGACGGCCCTATCTACGGAAACCCCGCGCAGTCTCTCTACGACATCGACAGTTCGTCCATTTTGGCGCAACAGGAGCAACAGGACAGATGCACCATGTACAAGATCGCCATGACTCAACAGCTGTACTTCGAGGTGAGAGAAATTGTCGATGCACTTCCTGCACTAACCGACACGGAATTCCGTTGCTCGCGTGCTACGTCGGACGTTTTGCACTCGCTCGAGAGAGTCGTACGCGAGCAAAATGACACGACTCCGTGGCAACGAACGTAGGAGAAAACGGTAACTTCCTCTTCGACCGACTTCGCGAGTCAAGGTTAAAAATCTGTCCAGCTAAAGGGGAGCGGTATCGAGGCACGACCGCTGTTTTATTTATCGAGCACGATAATCGAAGAACGCGATCCACGTTCGAGTGCATCGAGCTGTCGCGTAAATCGAACATTGTTCCCCGTCGCGAGCGATTAATTCACCGGGCCGTTTATCGGGCATTTATGCCCGGCAGAGATTGAGGGAAAATCGAGACGAGTCGATTATTGCACAATGCGGGCGCGTAACCACCGTGTAGGAAATTACGGCAAAGACCTTGTTATAGGGAAATGCTGAAATCTCGAGAGCGTCGCCTTAACAGCTCCGTGAAACTCGCCTCGCGGTTACGCAACGCGGAATCGATTAGACTGTTTCATTTCTTGCGTGCAAGAACCAGTACACGCGTCGTCTTTCATGCTAGCGCCTAGACTTACGCGGAAATTCAAGAATAAACTAGCTTCTTCCTGTCTCTTCGTAACCAACACAAACACGCGATTGACAACTTCGAGAACCGAAAAGTTTCAGCAATCTTACGAATTCTCCTACGATTGGGTGTATCCGTGAGTCTTTCTTCTACGTTCCATCGGCTGCACTACACTTATGCATATCGTGTACAACACCTACGTACAGTACGTTACCGGTTTCTTTCTACAGTACGTTCACTACAAAACGGATCTACCAGATATGAAGGAGTTCACCCTGTGCATGTGGACGAAATTCTACAACCACACCAACGATCATCCTTTATTTTCGTACGCAGGTGAGCTGGCCAACCTGGTTTCTTTTTCCTTTCACCTCTTCTTTTTATTTTTACCCTGCGAAGCGAACGGCGCGCGAGAAAGCGAAAGTCCCGCCCGCCTCTGGTCGGGCTTTTCGAGCAAAGTGAATCTCAGCCGCGTCGAAAACACGCTCGCTTCCTCCCTTCGCTAACGAACTCCGATCCTCGGGAGCAATCGGCATTGTCTCAACCACCTACCGAACCGTCTTCGAATACTTATATATCTACTTAGTCGTTCGCTCGGAATACCCCAAGGATCGCGTAACCGTTCAAACTCGAATTCCGGCGAGACATTGGTGCTTTCGCAAACCGGAGCTCGAGGGGAACGTTCTCGCGAATCGCGCGTAAATACGCTCTAACGGTGACGCAATCGTCTGGAACGTCCGCTCTTCAGCCTTCCTCCTTTCCTCTAACTAGAATAATCCGCTTAATAGAGTGCTGACGATCAAATTCTTGCCGGTTGAGAAAGAGCTCGCGAGCGAATATCTCGCCCGGAGCGATACGCGATTTATTTTTCCTTCCGCGTTTCCTCGGTTTCTCCGCGCACTCGTGAATGTAACACGGTGAATGTATTCGATAGTTGGGGACCAACCACGGGGACTTCTCTCCTGGGTAGCCAATACCCCGAGAAGCTCCTACTACATGATGAACATCGACGGGCACAACCTGTACAGATTGAATTATCCGCTGCGATTGAACAAGTGGTATCACTCCTGCCAAAGTTGGAGCGGCCGTACCGGGGAGTGGCAGATCTGGGTCAACGACGAGCGTGTAGGTCGCGGGTTCAACAACAGGGTGAGCGTGCTCTCTTCACTGAAAATCCGCGAAAATTCCACGTAAATTCGACGTAAAGGAACGTTCTCTCTGAATTCTAACGCTTCACAATCTGCATGCACATGTGTATATATATATATATATATATACACACACATAGGTGGCGTAAATGCGCTTTCTCGGTGGCCGTTACAAGTACAGGCCACGCGTCGCCTGGATAACCGAGCAATGCCACGGTCCCCGGTCGCGTTTATCGCTTTTCGCGTCGCGTTCTCGAAAGTCGGTACACCGTGACGCCAAAGTCGAGTAGAAAGCGATCTTCTCGATGTACAGGTGTCCGGTTCGAGGCCGATTCCACGCTTCAGCCATTTCTCCGCGGAGATCCGAACGATTCTCTTGCGTAACGTCGCTCCGCTCCGCGTGCCCGCGGTGCAAGTCGTGCGGGGAATTCTTCCGAGAGATCAGTTGTGTTGTTTCCAGAACTTTCGGCGCGACATCGTGCGTCGAATGAAGTATTCCACGTCGCGAAAGTACCCGCCTGCATTTCGAACCCGGGCCAGGGAACGCACGGTGAAAGGAATTTTACGCGGTGATCGCAATCTCACAATCGTACTTCCCCCTGCCGGAAACTTCTCGATCCGTAATACAAACGCGAGGCTACACGATATCTCTCGCGGGACATTTGTCGCATTTCGGAATAAAATTAAGACGAGCAGTGGGGCAGGGGAGAGGCGCGACGTAACGTGCAATTAACAGAGCCTGCAGCTAATCCGGCCTGACCCTAATTTGCTCGCGTTTGCTTTCGTCTCGTTAGCTGGTCGGGCACGTGATCAAAGGGGGTGGAATCGCCATCACGGGGCAGGAACAGCGGCAGCTCGGGGGAGGTTTCCTGGAAGGCGAGGGTGCACCTCCAGGTAACAAAGTTACAATCATCTAATTCGATTTGTCCATTTTGCAAAGAGAAAACCCAACGAGTACTGTTCCTCTCAGGATCCGGTGGTCTACTGGGAGAAGTGACTATGGTGCAGCTCTACGGGATAGGTTTGACTGCAGGAAAGGCGCACAAGGACCATAAACATCACCATGCTCATCATTACGAACACGACACGAGCAACAACACGCCTAGACCTACGCGTCCTCCAGTTACCGGCCCACCCCTGCCGCAGCATCCCTACTTGACAGGAGGACAAATAAATCGTGGGGTACTGTTCAAGTTGAATACAAAATGTCCGAATATACTCCGAGTATACGTGCAACTGACGGATAGGCGAATGTAAAAGTAAAATGTGAACGGAGATGCTGACACTGTGGAATTTCAGGTAAAAATCAATCCTGGATCGCCGGTGCAGATCATCCAGAGCGGAGTCACCCTCAGGCACCCTGCAGTGATTCCTCGCAACCCACCCCCTCAGCCGTACCCCCCAGCGAATTCCAATTCCGTCACTGCGACCACCTTTCCACTGCAATCCAGCCAGTTCTTCGGTAACTTGCAGCCCACCGTTGCTTTGCCCTCGGCGAACAGAATTTCTGGCGCAGGAGTGAACTTGGCGGACAGTCCGTACCACAATCTCTTTAAGAGGGAGAAAAATTCGGCGAGCGGTGAGATTGAGAGCGAGGAGGAGCTAGACACGAGTCTCGAGGAGACGAGCACGGAGAAATCCACTACGAAAAAGAGAGATGCCGACGCTGAGATGGAACGTTCCGACGGAAAGGTAAGAGAATCTAGACCTTTAGATTGGAAATAAATCGAACTTCTTCGAACGCGTGAATTTTCAGGTAACGTTCATACCGAAGGAAGAATCGGAAGATGCGGACGAGAAGAAGGTGAATAAACGAGACTCGGAGAAGAAGAAGAGAGGACTGGTACAATTGGGCGACGGACTAATCGTAGACGACGGATACATATCTCAAGGATTGGACAACGATTACTTCACCGGTCTAACCAATTTTGGCCTACAGTTGCCCAAGTACGAGAACAAGAACGACGAGAGGGAGCCAGCCGAGGCGGAGGTCAGGATGATCATGGATATATGCGACGGTTGCACGGAAGAACCATTTTCAAAGGCTTTGATCATGGCCTGGAGATCGGTTCCTAAGAAACTATACTCCGGCGCTATGCACCTTCCAGCCATGCAAGTCTGCAAGGCGTTCTGAGCCTCGGCGTCGTCATCGACCGCGTCGCTTGGGCCACAGAGATTTATGGTTATCGCGCGGCCTCGGCAGTCGACCGCTATCGCTGACACAGGATCTCTCACCTACGTGCCGTGAACCCGAGGCCAGCGGATCTTGAACGCGTTAGCTCGATTACGCGATTAGAACGGACGGATATCGATTACAGTCCGAGACATATTTATTATTTAGAGTAGCTACGCGTACCATAGACGTTAAGTTTCTACACTTGTTTGTAAGCGGCAGTATTATAAGTATATGTATATTGTATCATACATGTTTATCCGGAGAAAATGCGTCAACGAAGAGCGGGCAATAAATCGACCTTTGGCAGTATGTTACCTTGCTCTTGTGGATGTGTTGATGCTGGTACTCGCTGTCGAACTCTGGCTCGCTGAAGTAGCTCTGATCTTCCCAGTGCGGAGGTAGCCCCGTTCCGCCTCCGGGTATCCCCAATGGTCCTGGCATCCCCGTGACACCGTCACTGCTCTCGAATAGTCGCAAGACGCTGCGGTCTCGGATGTCTCTCAGATGGGATCTGAGGCAATATACCGAAGATACCGAATGATCGTTAATATCGAGAGAATTCGTAAGGGAAGTTTTTTTTTTGGCGCCGCGAGAGGTTCTCGAGAAGATTGGGATACCTGAGATCTTCGAGTTCGTAGAACATGTCCTTGTTGCTATCGTGTATGTAAACCTTGACGAGAGGACTGTCTAGATATTCCATAGTGAGTTGCTTGGGAAAGCTTCGGACAAAGAGAGCCTTGACGGTGTCTATGCTAGTGATTTCGTTCGGTAGGAGCGCCCGCTTCGTCTCGTTCCTATACTGCAGGAACACTAGACCTAAGGAATCGTCCACAGAAACGCATCGTTTCGTCAGGAATGTCCGACAAGGGCATCGAGCAGCGAGGCAGCAACAAGACGCTCCTAATTCTATTGCGGGTCGTGAGTTACCTAGTGGTCGCTCCAAAGTTTTGCTGGGGGTCCGTACGACGGGGAGGCTGCTTCTTTGTTTGCCACCCCGTCGAAATCCGGTGCTCGATGTCTCCACCTCGGACATGATGCCCGGGTCGTCATCGAACAACATCGTTGAAGAGGGAGGTGGGTAGCCCCGCGGAAGAGGCGACTGCAACAACCAAACGTTCCATAGTCATTTCCCCAGTTCTATCTATGTCTCCCCTACTCCTACGTGTGTCGGAAATCGAATTTCTCTATTTTTGTTTTTCTTTCGTCCAATACCAAAAGTACAAAAAAGAGGCGAGAAACGAATGCCACGCATGCTTAGACACCGAAAGAAGGAAAAAGAAGAAGAGAGAGAAAAAAAAATGAAAGAATTACCTTTCTCTGGCGAGACTTGGTCCCCATCTGTTAGCGGCGGCAGGTACACGGAAACACACACACACAAGTAAACCAGTTAGACGTGTATATGCATGGAGAGCAGAGAAAGGGGTTTGCTGGAAATGTACTTTGAAAAGGTAAGAGCGAAACAATGCGATCGCGAACGATCGATCCGGCATAGTCGACTACGGTGGTCGTCGGTTGGATTCGAGGTAGGCTGGTTGGCTGCTCCTGCAAAAATCTCCCACGATCGCCAACTTCTCTATCCCCCTCTTTCCATTTCTATATACTTTTCTTTTCATCGCTGCGGTGCCCCTCTCGTACAGACATTTAACGAGACATTTAAAGATTTCGAGTCGTCGACATGTGGACAAGTGGCAAAGGAGCAAAGGCGAGAATAATGATAAAAATCGTGGAAGGATAAAAACGAGCAGGAAGGTGTGACGACACGAGTTGTTTAATGCCACGTGTATACGCCACCAAGCTGGGTATATACACACGGACGCGCAGAGGCTAGAAACGAGGACGGCGTAGGTGGACGCGGCTTAATTAACCTCTTCCCTTCGTTACACCCGGTTCGGTTCTTGACCTCTTCAATGGTATGTCCGTTAAAGTCGCTGGACGCTTCGACCGAGATCGTTCTTCCTTACGTAATCGGGCAGAGCAGTATACCGCCAAATCGAGTGGCAAAGAAAGAAGAACGAGCACGATCGAACTTTTCGATCGAGACTCGACTTCACTTTTATATCCATCACCTGCTGGAAAGTGTTCCCGGTTTTTGATAGCCTCTGCGGTCCGGCGGTAAAACGGGGAGAAGATAAAAAACGGAGTATAAAAACAGAGTGAGAGAGAAACGGTCATTCTCGACAGGACTCGAAAACAGTGAGTGTATGCGTGTACATAACGAGAGAACAGGATTAAACGGTGACAAGAGTGAATATATATATATGTGTATATATACGTATAATAGATATGTATTTACATGTTGCGGGAGCAAAGATTCACCTCGAGATCCATGGTGGTGTGTCGCGTGGGCGGCGTACCGTACTGGCCGTGTGGCGGCGGCAGATGATGGGGATGAAGGGGGTGTAGCTGCTGGGCCGCGTTGAACTGCTGATGATGCAGGGACGGCTGGTGATCGCCGCCGAGGGTGTGCCTCCTCGGCTCGTCCCTCGACCGGCCGCCGCCCCCTCCACCGCTCCTGCCACCCGAGCCGCCCCCCAAGCTTCCGCTTCCGCCACCTCCACCAACCCCCAGCACGCTTCCGCCTCCGCCGCCGCCACCTCCTCCACCGCCGACGACGCTACCCACGCCGCCGCCACCGCCGCCTCTCCTCCCGCTCGGTACCTCGTTCGAGCCTGCCTCACCCTCCCCCCTGCCGGACCCACCTGCAACAACCAGACAAATACACCCTTTAGTCACTCTCTCTTCTCGCTTCCACCCCATCTTCTTCTTCTTCTTCTTCTTCGTCGTCGTCGTCGTCGTCTCCTTTCGGATTAGTCGTCAGAGGTCTACCTCAGCAGCTACTTTTCAACGATGATGGGATTTTCCCGAGGATAGAGCCAGCCAGGAAACCATTAACATGCTAACGGTCGAAACTCAAGAGTACAAGAGGGATATAGGAATGGCCAAGGTCTATGTCAAGGTATTACGAGAAACGGTTGATTCATCGAGTTAGGATTTGGTGTGGTGTTGTTGTTGTCGAAAGGAAGTACGGTTCGATTGTTGCATGACTACTAACGTAATACAGTTGAACGTAAAGGAAACGCTACCTAATTTCTTCTTCTTTCTTCCAACGCTGGTTACTGGAGATCCATGAATTAAACGGATATACAGGTTGGCCTACTTGGCAAGAGAGCCACGGTAGCGGCCGGAAATAGTCACAGGAGACACGTGTTCGTCGCTCCCTCGAAGGAGGAGGACCATCGATCGCGAGATTTACGCGGTATTCCTCGAAAGGACAAGCAACTATCCCCGATGTAGCGTAATCTATTCGCTCGCGATTCCGATGGCACGCGACTCCGTCGAGGAAGCTGAGCAGCGGCAAGCTGCTGGCGCGTTTAACGGGAAAGTGGGTCGCTGCACGGTTGCCCGTCCGTTGACGGGCCAATTAACGACGAGCCTCGCGAATTCCGTGATGGAAACGACCGATAATATCAACCGTCGAGTCTCTTCGCCTCTACTCCTTCGCTAGTCTATCAATCGCGAAATTGAAACGTCATTCGTCGGCTTATCTTCGAAGACGCGCCCCAATGAAATCCATTACCGGCAAAAGGCGAACGAAATTTTATAACCGTTAAAAGCACCGAGACGCGTCTCTTCCTACCTCTCTCTCTTCCTCCCTTTCGTCCTCTCTATCGGTTGTACAACGGCGAAATTAAACGCGAAGATCGATCCCGGTGTCCCCTCGAGCCGCCAGAAATTGATTTTCCCGGGCTGGCCCTCGCTCACCCTCGAAATCACAGAACGAAAGCGCTCGTTACAGTGAACGACAAAAAAAAAAAAAAAAAAAAAAAAAAAAAAAAAAAGAAGAAAAAAATAACAAAGGCCACATGCGACGATTCTATAAAACTCGAAGCGTTGCGCGCGGCGATACGAACAGCACTGCCGACCACGATCCTCGAACGCGTTTATTTTCAGAATAGCGGCGTACATGCTCGAGCTAACCGACGAATCAACGAAACCCTGCCCGCCTCTCCCACGAGAAATCTAATCTAACGCTTGGATACTCGATAATTCGTCACCGCAGATAAGCTCCACAAATACCTCCTTCAAGATAGGTGCCGTTCACGACTACGTTCTAACCAATCGATCCATCACGATGAGGTGAAATCGTTTATTGGAAAAAAAAAAACACGGAAAAATTCACAAGATTTAAATATCGATAGGATAGTTTTCTTTGCATTCACCTTACTCGAGATGCGTAAAAATTCTCTGTGAAATTTCCACGAAAACTGCTAATTTTTCTCACGGGACTTAACGCGTTAATCGGACGCCGGAAATTGGAGCACGCAACGAGGCCACCGGATAAATTCGTTCCACCTATATATTTACAAGTTCAACGTTCCCTTTCGGCTAGACGGTCACCCACGCGAAAATAGTACCTCCAAAAATACTATGCAACCAGAACGAGAGAGAGAGAGAGAAAATGTACCGCGTAAGAGAGGGATGGAACTACGAGGAAAGTATCGACTCTCGAAGATCGATCGTACTCGATCGGACGCGACCACCGACGATCCTGCGCGATTAGAATTACATTACGCGTGTGCTCCGATCGATTTCAATTACCGCGACGGACATGAGACACGAAGCTGTCCACTTTGGTTCCTTGACCTCGCTGCTGCGTGCAACTGTTGCTCGCGGTGTTACACGAGAGAGCCTCCAAGAAACGTATAGCTTGTTACGCGTCGACGAGTAGCGAGCATGCGGGTGCCAGGCGCCATCGAGAAACGAACAACTTCTGACATTGAAAAAATCGGGGATTTTTTCCGCTACCGGTTAACATACGGTCTACCCTCCGCTTCTATACGATTCGTACACGTATAGCATTCCGTCAAAATTTTACGATCGCTGTAAAAGAATAACACTTCGAAATAGAAGGGGTCAGCGTCTGACACCGTGTAATCAGTCTGTGAGGCCAACGGACA